AGAAAGATCTTATCTTGTTCCCTTTATTTTCTGTTTTTTTCCTCATGATTACCTTGAAAGTCTTAATAAATATATAATTTATGTGAGTAATTCCAATTTTATTGAGAGTGAGTTATTGGTATCAAGACATATATATTTTTTAGGTTTCCTTTCTCTTAAAAAAAATACATTGCTTTATTTTTGAAAAACAGAGTGAACACTGATTTGGTTTAGTCTTAATCCAAAATTAGTAAAGTATTAAACCGTATTTTATGAATGTTCTTTTTTCCTACAGCTCTACAGCTTGCATATATATGCACATATGTGTATATATATTGCATATATGTGTATATGTGAATTTATATAATATATATATGCAATATATATGCAATGTATATAATATATACGCAATATATGCATTATGTATACTTATATGTATACATATATGTGCAATATATACATTATATATGTTATGTACATATACATAATATACATACATATACAATGTATATACGTGTGTGTGTGTATACACTTATATATTTATATGTTTTGGGGTGTTTTTTTTTAACAGTATTTGAAAGCTGTGATAACTCCAGAGTGTCTTCTGATACTAGATTATCGTAATTTAAACTTAGAGCAATGGCTGTTCCGGGAACTCCCTTCACAGTTGTCTGGAGAGGGTCAGCTCGTTACATACCCTTTACCTTTTGAGTTCAGAGCTATAGAAGCACTCCTGCAATATTGGGTAAGTCTGTTTTTATTTAGTTTCCTGGGTTTATTCTGATTTTGAAATGTCATTGAGTGGGAAGACAAGTTGGTGGTATTGTTTCAACGGCACGCCCCTGACCACACCCTGCCCTGTCTCTAAGGACGCTGCATGGAGATAACACTTTATTCTTAAAGCGTATGACCCTGTCAAATATCACTGAAGATTCTAGGTATCCACAGTCTTCAGAGTCATGTTATGGCAGTCAGTGAAGCACATTTCAAGTTTACTACCTGTTTATCCCTTGAGGGATGATAATTCAAAATACTTAATATCCTGAATATGATATAAATTAACATATATTTAAAAAATTTAAGTGGATTCCATTTTGTTCTCTAAGACTATGTATATTAAAGAAGTGCTTTACCTGTGATAAATATTAAGTCATTCTTTGATTTGTTTGTACAGTCCTTTGTGTGAGCCAGGTAAATGATGCATCTCTTTGAGTCCTAGATTGACATGGAATCACACACAGTTCTTCCAGTGACTCCTCCTTTAAGGGTCCTTGGATGTCTGACACTCCTGTCAGGCTCTGAACAAGGGTGGTTCTTTGCTTTCCTGACCCCACAAATCTTTCATTGTCTTTTCTTGCCCCTGTTAGTATGGTACTGTTCTGTAACTGGCTACATGCAAGAGTTGGGGCTGGGAGCATACTAACCAGAGTGCGAGGAGGAGAGGTGGGTTGAGAGGACATGAGGTAGATTGGGTTGGGTGAACCTGGTAAACTTCTCTTTTGTCTGCCTTGCTCTAAAAGAATAGATGGTTACACTTCCTGCTCTGGCGAATGAGCACCAGCTAGCACCAGCCAGTGGTTAGTGATGGGCTGCACAGGCTGGGTAAACTCCCAGGAGTTCATGCAGTTAGGAGAAAGGCAGGGATCTTAAAAGCAGCAGGAGGTGAAGGGGCGGGGCTGGGCTGGCATGGGTCTCCTGCCTAGAGATTGGCTGTGGGGAGAATAGAGAGGGGGAGTGCAGGTTGTCTGCTGGGATATACTTTCTTTAAATGGGGTCCCAGGAAGATTTCTTTATGAAACAACACTACATATAAGCAAGACCAGCCACCTCTCAAAAGGGATAAGTTTTTGAACAAAGGAAAGCTCCCCAAACCCACCTGAGGGACCAAGACATGCCATGAGTAGATGTGCCTCACAAATAGCCTATCTGTGACCCTTAGCAGCCTCCCCAACAATTTCCTGAGTCCACACCTTGCTGAGCAGAGCGTGTGGTATCTCTTAGATGGTAAAAAATGTGGTCTTCGTGTTTGGCTGTCCAGTCTTCCCTCCCTCCCAAGGACTTCTTTAACCAGAAGCAGTTCCTCTGGAGAATCACAAAATAAACATGTCTGCAAAGGCACCATGATTCTGGACTCGTTTTCAAATTTAAAAATCTTAGTTTCACAGTAATTGTGCTTCTGAGATAAAGACTGTATACTGTACTTTATGTCATTAGTTTTATTGCTTGATTCAGTTATATATGCTATTTACCAACAGGTATGGAAGTGTTTCAGTATTTTAACAACTGTATAGCAAGATTAGTGCATACCTGCTGAATATCAAACCATACTTGCATTAACCTAAATAGTATATTTTTTACTTTACTCTGATATGTTTATGTTTTAAAGTTTAAGTTTTTTTTTTTTTTCAAACAGCTTTGTAGGAATTTTGAACCATATTCTGTTTACAAAGAACACAAATATTACTAAAAGCTTGTGTTTTAATAATAGAATGGCAGATTTTATTTTAATCCCTCATGATTTCATAATGATTGTCTATAGGAGGAAGACTCTTGTAAGAGTTAGCTCCTTGTCAATCAAATCTGTGCCTAATGATGACATGACACATGGTTCTTGGAACCCAGAAGATCTAGTTTTTGAATCATCTTGAATAGGCATTCTAGAACTGACTTTGTTCTGAAATGTTATCAACATTTCAAGCTTCTACAGATTTCTGTATTAAATCAGAGGATTCACTGATCCTGAATATTCTAAAAAGATTGTTTTAATTCTTATGAAAGGTCATGTTGTTATCTAGATCAACACCCTTCAGGGGAAACTTAGCATTTTGCAACCACTGATCCTTGAGACCTTGGACGCTTTGGTGGACCCCAAACATTCTTCTGTAGACAGAAGCAAACTGCACATTTTATTACAGAATGGCAAAAGGTAAATATGGGTGATGTATCATATTGGGAGTTGGAGACAAATATCTTTAATTATTAACATTTTGTTTCATAGTTATTTTTAAAGTAAGAAAGTAGCCTAGGTGGGAAGTTGAGCTTAAAGGGGCGCACAGTCTAATGTTTGCTGGAAAGCTACTTTGCATAAAATGTTATATAAGGCTCTTTTATGTGTGTGATCTCATCTCATCACCCATTCAATGGTTGATATTGTCCTCATTTTGAAGAAGAGAAAACTGAGGTTTGAGTAACTTTCCTAAACTTACATGGCTAGCAAATGGCATATCTATATCGAAAATCAAAGTCCATGTTGTTCTTTTTTTTTAAAATCATAATGGATTCCAGAATTTAATAACATTTTATATGTGTCATAAATTGAATAAACATGCTCTTGGGAGTTGTACTCCCAAAATCCCTTCAAAAATTAACTTTTAAAATTCCTGAATCAGTAGTTTGTTGCCCAAAAATGTTGGAGTGTTTTTATCAGTTAAGAGTAATTTGTCTGTTTTATCACTGCCATGTTGATTAAGAATAAAATTAATTCCCAGACTGAAAATCTTAAATTCACAAGTGATTGTATGTTTCTGAGATAATGTATGCTGAAATTTATATCACTGATTAATTTTATCAATTAATTTAGATTTGGTTTGGGGTTTTTTTTGTTTTGTTTTGTTTTTTTTGGGAGACGGAGTTTCGCTCTTGTTACCCAGGCTGGAGTGCAATGGCGCGATCTCGGCTCACCGCAACCTCCGCCTCCTGGGTTCAAGCAATTCTCCTGCCTCAGCCTCCTGAGTAGCTGGGACTACAGGCACGCGCCACCATGCCCAGCTAATTTTTTGTATTTTTAGTAGAGACGGGGTTTCACCATGTTGACCAGGATGGTCTCGATCTCTTGACCTCGTGATCCACCCACCTCAGCCTCCCAAAGTGCTGGGATTACAGGCGTGAGCCACCGCGCCCGGTCTTGGTTTGGGTTTTTTGTTGAGTTTTTTGAGACAGGGTTTCACTCTGTTGCCCAGGCTGGAGTGCAGTAGTGCAGTTCAGCTCACTGCAGCCTTGACCTGCAGGGCTGCAGCTATCCTCCTGCCTCTGCCACCCAAGTAGCTGGGACTACAGGTGCACACCACCATGCCCAGCTAATCTTTAAAATTTTTTAGTAGAGACAAGATCTCACTATGCTGTCCAGGCTGGCCTCAAACTCCTGAGCTCAAGCAGTCCTCCTGCTTTGGCCTCCTAAAGTGTTAGGATTATAGGCATGAGCCGCCATGCCCGGTCAAATTGATTCTTAATTTGCCTAGTAAATACTCACCTTTTTTTTTTTTTTTTTTAATAAGTGTTTGTTTAGCATGAATGTATAAGAGAATATACTTGGTAAGATACTCTAAAAATGCTGTTATGAAATGTTCTTAGAAGTTTATTCTGTTGATCATTTTTGTGTATCTTACAGTCTATCAGAGTTAGAAACAGATATTAAAATTTTCAAAGAGTCAATTTTGGAGATCTTGGATGAGGAAGAGTTGCTAGAAGAGCTCTGTATATCAAAGTGGAGCGACCCACAAGTCTTGTAAGTATATGATCATACTTTATTATTTATTTCCTTATAATAAATCTTTTGAAATTTTTCATAACTTTGTCTAGAAAGGAAAAAAAAATAAGTCTTTTGCCTTTTCTACTTCAAGGTGATTTTTCATACAGAATGTAACATTTTTCTGGACTAGAGAACATAGACGTTTTTCATCCCCAGTTTCACTTTTTCCCTGTGCATTATCGTATCTAATTCAATTTAATGAGGATATATTGAGTGCATACTGCATACCCAACATTGCTGACATATGGTGAATATAAACACATAGTTACCTTTATATTCAAGGGACTGACCACCAAATTGGCACACACATCTACCAAAATAACTTACATAGGAAGTAGAGTGGGAGAGAAATTTACATGGAGGAGGGAAAAGATGGGGTAAATATACAAGTAAAGCATTAACATGAATTATGTAAGTTCATTCTAATAAAAATGCTCATCTTAAAAACCTTTTATGAAGTTAGAAATTGTTTATGCATCTTACTTGTGCACACTCTGGCTAAATGTTTATTTTTGAATACCCCAATATTTTATTTTTTGTCTTTGTAGAGCAATATCAGAAATTAACACATTTTTGTAATCAGTTTAGTTTCCACAGTCTACAGATTTTCTTAAAGCACTTTGAAAAATTGGTTATTTATGTTCTGATAAGGAAATACTAAGATAAAGGGGGCTATATAACATTTGATTGATAGCAGGTAGGTATGGTAGCAGAAGCTCTTGTTTGCTTTGCCTAGGCCAATCTGTCTCTAACGTGCTTTATGATACAAGCACCTTTTCAGAGTCCTTCATTCCTCCTTATCCTTTTTGGTAGGGTAGGGGAGCAAAGGAAATGGTCTTCACATTTTTAGTTGTGGACGTATTGTGACCATGTAATACAGTGACGCCAACCAGTCTACATAAGGATGGAGCTTCTTTCCTCAACTTATCTGTTAAGTGTTTAGGATCAGTTGACATAGCTACTCACAGATTGGCCACAATAATAGAAAAGACACAGGCGAGCTTTTCCACTGGTGGCTGAATGCTATATACTAATTTAGGAAGTTGTCACTAAGTATATGATACACATGTTGGGGGCATGTTAATTATTTTCTCTTGATTGAAGCGAAAAGAGCAGTACCGGGATTGACCACGCAGAAGAGATGGAGTTGCTATTGGAAAACTACTACCGACTGGCTGACGATCTCTCCAATGCAGCTCGGGAGCTTAGGGTACTGATTGATGATTCACAAAGTATTATTTTCATCAATCTGGACAGGTAAGAAAGTGTTATATAAAACAGTAAGTCTTTTGTTGTTAGTTTTTGTTTGTTTGTTTGTTTGTTTTTTGAGACGGAGTTCTGCTCTTGTTACCCAGGCTGGAGTGCAACGGCATGATCTCGGCTCACCGCAACCTCTGCCTCCTGGGTTCAAGCAGTTCTGCTGCCTCATCCTCCCGAGTGGCGGGGATTATAGGCATGCACCACCATGCCTGGCTAACGTTGTCTTTTTAGTAGAGACAGGGTTTTTCCATTTTGTTCAGGCTTGTCTTAAACTCCCGACCTCAGGTCATCTGCCCACCTTGGCCTCTTAAAGTGCTGGGATTACAGGCATGAGCCACCACGCCTGGCCAATAGTAAATATTTTTTTATAAAATAATTATAAAGTTTTTAAGGAAATATCATTTTGTGAGGAATTATGCCATTATTATAATTTATAACTACTACATTAAAGTCCTTTTTTTTTTTTTTTTTTTTTTTGGATGTGTAGGTTTCATCCATGTGGGGTCTAATAGATTTGGTGAATGTGCTGTATATAGTTAGTGGGCCCTTCTAATCTCAATAGGTGTTCTTCTCTCCAGCCACCGTAACGTGATGATGAGGTTGAATCTACAGCTGACCATGGGAACGTTCTCGCTTTCGCTCTTTGGACTAATGGGAGTTGCTTTTGGAATGAATTTGGAGTCTTCACTTGAAGAGGTGAGAATGTATTATTATTTCTAAAACTTGGGGGTTTTGGCCGGGCACGGTGGCTCATAGGTGTAATCCCAGCACTTGGGGAGGCTGAGGTGGGCAGATCTCCTGAGGTCAGGAGTTTGAGACCAGCCTGGCCAACATGGTGAAACCCCACCTCTACTAAAAATAGAAAACTTAGCCGGGCACAGTGGTGGGCACCTGTAATCCCAGCTACTCAGGAGGCTGAGGCAGGAGAATCACTTGAACGTGGGAGGCGGAAGTGGCAGTGAGCCAAGATCTCACCACTGCACTCCTGCCTGGAAGACAGGGCGAGACTCTGTCTCCAAAAAAAAACAAAAAACAAAAATCTTGGGGGTTTTGGAGATTTTTTAATGGATTTAAAAAATAAATAAAAAGGCTAACCTGTATATTACCATGGTGAAATATATGCTGTAACTTACAATTCAGGCAGTATTGTTGGACCCTGTTATAACCTAGATAAATACTGCCTAGATTACTTTGTTTCCCAAAACATATAATTACAATGGGAAAGGTCAGATAAAACTGTCTCTGTGAAGCAGTGTTAGAGTTTTTGTTTTTTAATTCTTACATGTCTGGCAACATACCAGGCAGCTTGCATACTTTATTTGGCTCAATCATTGCAACTCTGAAAATAGATGTATTATCCCGACTTTGTAGATGAGGAGACTGAGTCTCGGAACATTTAAGTAACTTGCCCACATGCACAGGGCTAGAAAATAACAGAATTAGGACTTGAACCCAAAGACTTGTACTTTTTACTGCTCAGCTGCTTTTCCATGTTAAGATAACAACTCCCAGAGTTTTTCATTTCACTGTGGTTTTGTACAGTCATCCCTCGGTATCCAAGAAGAATTGGTTCCAGGATCCCCACAGATACCAAAGTCTGTGGGCGTTCAAGTCTCTGATACAAAATGACCCAGTAGAGTCAACCTTTCAAACCTGCAGATGTAGAACCCACTGATGCAGAGGGCTGACTGTATTTTCAGAGAATATCTGATAGTGAGTTTTGTGGAAGTGAACCTCGATGTGCATCTGACA